AGTCACATATTACTCCTTTTACGAAATTAGAATTGTATCATTTCTTACATAACATCATAATATGATATAATTGCGATGATAAATAGAATATTTTTATAATACTTTGCTTATTTTTTTTATAAAAATAACATAGTAAGCTAAAGTAATAGAATTCATTAAATTGACATATCTTCATTGTATCATGCATGTCCCCTATAACTACATAGAAGTAAGGATTAATAAGATAATATAACAATAGTAAAATTAAATATCAATAAATAAATAAGCAAATAAACTTGTATAGAATATTTTTGACTAGTACAAAAGGAAAAAGCATAGGGTCAAGTTGTGGATTGTTTTGATATTATAATATCAACATATTAGACTTGATATTGAAATGAAATATTTGCAAGACTTATTGAAAATTTAAAAACTAAACTAGCTACTGCCTTAAATTAATAAATAATTCTTAAAGATTAGTATTTTGCATCATAAAGTTACTGTGGTTTCTCAACATTCTTGAGTTTATGTGTAACTCACTGCTAATAATTATTTATTTTTTATTTTTTACAAACGTATCCTAGTCGTACCCGTATCCTACTTTTTTAGATTTTGTTGTATCGCCGTATCCGTATCGTATCATATCCGTACCTCGTATTCGTACCCGTGCTTTCTAGGTCACAACTATGTTGGCTGAATAACTAGAGACTGATTTAGTATACCAAACCAAACTGGGCCTTGTGTTCCAGTCAAATGGGATCGGCAACATGAATTTTTTTTCTCAATTCTTCTCCATCAAGGTCTATATGCTAGAGTACTGGTTTAATATGGTTACTTTTGATTTTTGAAATTTGCATATATGAAGTACCTCACGTGGTCTAGGTTTCACATTAGTTTTCTTGAGTTTTTATGGACCTTAAAAATGCTTCAGTAAAGGATTGTTTTCACAAGTCATGGTTTGGACATTGAAGTACAATAGTGACTGCTCACAATCTCACAATTGATTCTAGTTCATTTGTAATGGAGCTGTTCGTTGTCAAAAGAACACCGAAGGTTATAGTATTAACAATTGACTTGTTGAAAGATGTGAAAAAGGGTTTTCTTGACTAAAGGCAGGGGTGAGCTTTCTGAGAGTAATGACCACTTTGAAGAATGAACCAATGACAATAAAGGATGATAAGAATGGCCACATAATTAGAGTTACGAAGAAGTTTAAATTCTGATAGCAATTTTGGAAGAATATTAATTGTTAATGTTGGCAAAACTTATCCAATGATGTGAATTTTAGTATGACAAAGTCCTTTTGTTGAGTGAAGATTTAGTTCCACATCATGGAGGATCTTGAATATTTTTTTCTGGCAGGTTCATCTACCTAGAAGATGTGCTGCGTTTCATGTTAGAAGATGAGGCTTTGAAGACCATGAGTCTTTTGGGAGGCTCACCTGAAAGTGAAAAAATAAGCCAGTCTTCTCTGAAGAACTGGGTGGTAAGAACTTGGCAATAGATGGTGCATTTATTTGTGTAAAATTATTTTCTTCTTTATTTAGTTTAACTGTTGTGATTAATTAATTGTGTAAAAGTGTTTCATTTATTTATTTTAACAAGGAGTATTGTCATCAGCTTACATATTGTTTGCCTTTAAAACTATCATGCAAATATGATAATGTGTTATGCCTGATTCTTTTAGGTTAATGCTTTTAGAGAACGAAGAGCGCTTGCCTTGACACTTAATGATACAAAAACTGCTGTCAACAAACTTCATCATATGGTGAATGTACTAGTTGTCATCGTTATAGCGGTTGTTTCTCTCTTCATACTAGGAATTGCAACCAGCAGATTTCTATTCCTCATAAGCTCTCAGATCGTCGTTGTGGCATTCATATTTGGAAACTCGTGCAAGACTGTATTTGAAGCCATTGTCTTTTTATTTGTGATGCACCCATATGATGTAGGTGATCAGTGTGAGATTGATGGAGTTCAGGTATGATAATCATATTTTATTTGAAATTGTGCTTATGTGCCTTCTTTTACATTTCCCTTTATTTAATTTCGACTTTTGATATGTATTGTGCTTTGACTTTCAGATGGTAGTTGAAGAGATGAATATCTTGACTACCGTTTTCCTGAGATTAGACAACCAGAAGATTATATATCCGAATAGTATTCTTTCTACAAAGCCCATCAGTAACTACTATCGTAGTCCAGACATGGGCGATGCAATTGATTTCTGTGTCCATATTGCGACTCCAGTAGAGAAGATTGCTATCATTAGGCAAAGAATAATAAGGTATAGAAAGGCAATCTCCCCCCTCTTTCAGCATCCTCTCTTTTTCTTCTTTTTCTTCTTCCTTTTAGTATTATTCTTTTTGCTAGTGCAAGTGCGGTTTTGATCACAGAATATGAATAGTAAGAGTAAGTTCGGTTTTGGTTGCAGCTTATAAATGGTGTATTTTTAGACTGGTTTTGATCTTTTGTAAACGTTTTTCAATTTTAAGTCCAACTTTTTTACTTTTTCGCTCCGACTAGACTTAGGCCTTGTTTGGCATACAACACTTCTAACCTAAAAGTCAAAAAATTACTAAAAAACCAAAAAACCTATAACCTATATTAAAAAGTCAAAGATTTCATTTTCTCTCTACTTTTTGCACATCTTTTCGTAAAAAATTAAAAAGTCATTTCAAACATACTTTTTTTTTTGGTTTCGTATTTTAGCCAAAAAATTAAAAAATTACTAAAATAGTCTGTTCCCAAACGAGACCTTAGTTTAGATGGACTTAAAAGGTAAAAATTTTACCCCGTTGGTTTCTAAAGCTTAAGGTCATAGTCAGGTCACTTGGATGAATTACTGAGCCAAAATAAAATAAAGACCAAAAACTTTAGAAATGAAGAACAATTACTGATATTTTGAGTTTCATGAAGATTTCTTCGATTGACAGCGCCATAGTCTTGGCAACTGTTAGAACGTTAATGAAATTGCAGTGACAATGCATTGAGATTGAGAATGTAATAATTCTGATAAATATGAATTTGATTGATTAATCCTCGTGGCTGCTTATGCAGTTATGTTGAAAGCAAGAAGGACCACTGGTATCCTTCGCCGTTGGTGGTACCGATGGACCTGGTGGGATTAAACGATTTGAAACTATCAGTGTGGCTGAGGCATCGTATGAACCACCAAGACATGGGTGAGAAGTGGTTAAGGAGAGCCTTCGTGATAGAAGAGATGATTAAAATTTTCAAAGAACTTGATATGGAATACCGCTTGCTTTCCCTTGACATCAACATCCGCAACATGCCCCCTATAAGCTCCACTTGCTGTCCCAATCATCATGACCATTATGAAGTTGAGCATGATAGAATTTGATGATCTTGAACAAATTTTTGATGATCTTGAACAAGTTTCTTCTAACTGGACAGCCTCTAATAAGTGAGCAATCACATTATGCGGGTGGGAGAGAGAATTTCCGTTACCTTGCCTTATTCTTGTGTAGTGTTTTTTGTTTTTTTTTTTCTCTTATCCTCTCTTTATTTGGTTTGTATTTTTCTTTTTGTGTTTACCATGTTCAATTTCTATTTAGTACACCATGTACATGCATGAACCAGCTGTACAGCCTCCAGGAGTTTCGCCTTCTCTCTGGAAGGGCTGGGCCAAATTTACTAAGGCATTGGTAATCTTTGTACAAATCTTGTGACATGAGATTGTGTATTCCTATTATGAAGTTGGCATTGAGGTCTTTTGATTTTTGTATTTGCTGATTCTTGTTCAATTTTTGAGTCCATGATAGCAAGTGGAAGGTTGTGTGGTGAGACTTTGGCATGACCATGCATAGGATAAAAGAGAATTTTGCTATGAAACTTTCTTTTTGTTTTTGTTTTAATTCATATTTGAACTAACATTTTAAGAGTGATATTTTACTAATGATGTATATATCTCATTAATTATGTTTAACAAAGTTTCACCATCATAATATTAAACAAGAACATTCTTTAACATTTGTCTTTGAATATTATAATCAACAATGTTACAGATCTCAAAAAAACACAATTTTACAATCCCCACTTATTTGTGATTGGTTCAGTAAAGAAAAAAATATATAACAAACAAAAACACATGATTGGTTTACATCATTTTGAGAGTCATGGGGTCCCAAGCATTTTTGTATATTTATGAGTAGTGAATGATTGTTTTAATAATTGAGAACTGTGTCTTCAATATGATCTTTTCGGTATCAAACGCATAATTATTTCATTTTTTCTTTCACAAACATCACATTTAACTAGACAAAAATCCAACTATCTTCCCAAACACAAAAATTTTAACCTATTAAAATAGTCAAAAATTAAAATAGCCTATTAAAATAGCCAACTTCCCAAACCAGGCCATAGGTCTCGTTTGGCAAGTGGCTTTTTTAGCCAAAAAGCTAAAAAGTCACTAAAAAAACTAAAAGTCAACAACTCATATCAAAAAGTCAAAGATTCTCTTTTCTCTTTACTTTTTGCACATTTTTTTTTGTAAAAAGTTAAAAAGTTATCTCAAACATACTAGTTTTTTTTTTAAGTCATATTACCAAATAATTAAAAAATTATTAAATTAGTTTGTTATCAAACGATGTTCGTAACTATTAAGACTGTTTTGTGGTCTCATTAGAATGATTTGAATACTTTATTTTATAAGTTTAAAATATATATATATATATATATATAAAAGAAGGGAGCTATTGTAGTGTGCAAGGCTTGAAACTTGCACACCATATACAAGCTAATTCTCAGCCATTAGATTTGATTAAATTAATCTAAGCCCTTCAATATTTTATACAGTTTATACCATTTACCTGCTAAACCGGTTCAAACCCAGCCATTCTCTCCACTTTCATCAGTCACCTCTTTTTCTCTGTCGTTTGGCTAAACAGGACTCCCTTCTCTCTTCTCTGGTCGTCTTCCATGAATGGAGATCGAAGTCGCAGGCTATGCAAGGATTGAAGAGGTAGGGCTCTGAAATCCCTAAAAATTTCTCCCCTTGCTCCGAATCTATGGTTTCTCCCTCTTTCTCTCTGATTTCTCTGTCCGTTCTCTTGCTCGTTATCATCTGTCACTCTCGTCTCTTGCTTTCGAAGGCTTCTTGAAGATCTCTGTCTTCTCTAGTAGCTTATTGGTTCAAAAGAGTTCTCATTGAAGAGGTATGGCTTGAAATCCCTAAAGCTCTATTTCTCGATAAATAGGCAATTCCATGAATCAAACTGTTTCTCGCACAACTTGATTAGAAGATATATTGGGTGAAATTTGTTGGTAGAATTTGATACATTATATCTAATAATGGATTCTTTGCCTAGTTGGTTACTTACTGTCTTACTTGTTCTTTTCTTAATTTTGTTTTCTATATTTTATCTCGTCTCTTGCCTATTTACAGTTTGAATGTAATATTTGTTTCATGGCCTCATGGGTTTCAATTGAAAAATTAGGGATTGAAAAAATTAGGTTTGGGGTTGGGATTATTTCTGTATCCATTGTAGTTAACTTCATACATTTTTAATTGATTAAATTGTCTGTGTAACTTGATTTTGATTTTCATTCAGTTGGTAAATATGAGAAATTATTCAATGCTCGTGGAGCAATGGTAAATAGCAATTCAGGTTGTTCTGAATCAAGTTCCTTCAAGTTGTTCTCAATCAACAATCGACAATCTTCTGGAGGTGCGAATTGCAAATCTCTCTCTCTCTCTCTCTCTCTCATAACGAACAGAGCTATGTTCCCAATCTCTGTTGTTGTACATTTTCAATGTCATTGAAGATGCTTTCAAGATCACACTGATTATCTGTGCATGAGGTGAGTTCTCGTTGGTTCATTCAAATTTTTTCGATTTTTATCATTTTGATTGTTGTTAAGAGTGTAATTTTAATTTATATTTTGGTTATTTTATATTAATCTATAAATCTGGAGTGTTCTTGTTCTGTTTCTTTAGGTTTTGTAAGTTGATTTTGTGTGCACGTTTTTTCAAGTGTTTGGTATAGAACACAAAAGTTTCTAGGGTTTTGATTTTGGTTTTTTAATTTTGTATAATTTTGAGTTTTGAAAGCTGTTAATTGATGAAGCTAGGGTTTATGAGGTTAATTTGATGAAGCTAGGGTTGGGTGGATGTTAATAGGGAAGGTGCATTGATACTTACACAACTATGGCTTTAGTTTTCAAGTTTGAATCAGACTTTTTGATTGAAAAAATAAAGCCCTAAGCAAGTGCATGTGGGTTTTCACACTATGTTGGGTTGCTTTGACTTCATCCACTAGCATTTTATAATCTCCACCTCTACTTTTATTTTTGGGAAGCCATTCCAAAATGAAAGGTAAAATTGAATTCATAAATTAAATTGTATCTAGCACAACTTGATAGTTTCTAGCATTGATCGTGCCCTATGATAAGGTTGAGGTTGTTCACTTAGTAACATGACACTGCCTTAATGAAATTCAATTTTATTTAATTTTTTGATAAGTACATCTATTAGGATAGATAAACAAGTGCTATAGTGGTTGTGTTTCCTTGGTGGAGGCCCGACCTGCATGCTTTTTGCTTTCCAAACTAAACCTTGGGGAAATTGAGCTGGATAGCAGCCTGAGTTTAGTGTTGCATGATATACTGTCCTATGTCTCTATTCTCTTCTTGCTTCATTTTTTTCTTTTTTCTTTTTTTTTTGCTTCTTTTATAAAATGTTTTGATCGTATTTTTTTTCCTTTGTCATGTTTTTGTTAGGTAAGGTAGAGAGACTCAAACTTTAGTCTGTTTACTAAGGTAATGCGACCTATGCAGCTGGGGTATCATTTTTTGCTTATTATTAGATTTTTTTTAGTGTTTTTCTTTTTTACGTTGGAAACTTAGTCCAAGCTAGGGTTTATTGACTAAGAAGTACATACACATAATACTCTAAGAATATTGAATAATTTCTCCCAAGGAAGTAGGAAAGTTTGCTGGCAATCATAGTTTAATCAAAGGTTTTGGACAGTTCAGCATCAGGAACAACTAAAAGATTCCTTTTACACTGCACATTTTTCTCAAATTGAAGGATGAAGTCAAATTGAAGATAATGGGGATCATTATGTTGTACTTGTGCCCAAGGACGAAACCAACATTTTATTATTTGTGAGGTTAAAAGAAAAATAATTTTTTTTTTATCATATATAGGAATATATATATATATATAGATATGTATAAATATGATATATAAATTGTATGTATATATAGAAAAAAAAATTAAATACTATAGAAATAATCTCTAATAGGTTGAAGAAGTTTTTTGGTGAAAAATGAAAAGATAATACAAGATAGAAAAAGAATGACATATATATTCTTTTAAGGAGCTGTTTGGCTGTGCAGCCCATTAAAGGTTGCACATCATATGCAACCCAATTATCTGCCATTGGATTACAAACAATTGATTAGGGCCATTGGATTGTTTAATGGTAAAAAATTGGGAAACCTGAGCAACCGGTTAACTCTCTCTCCTCCTATTTTCCTCTCACTCCCCCACACCCACAACGATTATGATTCTTTCTCTCTTCTTCGTCTCTCACTCCTCCTCCTCTGCTGCTCTCACCATCTCTGTGTAATCCTTAATTTCCTACAATAACTAGTAGCCTTTGTTGAGTTCCAGCCACAACGGACTACAAGCCTCTATTGGCTTCCATCGTTGAAGTGAAGGTGTTCTCTTCAACCAGATAGATATCAGGTATATATGGACCTCTCTCTCTCTCTCTCCCTCTCTCTCTCTCTATTTGTCCTTTTCACTTCAATGATTTCCCTCTACCAAAGCGTCATCCTAACTCCCACGCCCCTACCACTTCCAAAACTCAAAATCCCTCCATCTGTAACAATAACCCCCCTCTCTCTCTCAAATCGATTTCTGAGAAGCCCTAAAAATCTCTCTTAATCGATTTTTGGCATGCACTGACTTTATGTTTTTTTCATGATCGATCAATTTCTCCATCTCTTTCACACTTCTAAATCAATTCTATTCCTGCTCCTTGTAGTCATAGTTTCATTTTCCAAGTTAATTATAGAATATGTGGTGTGCTTTAATAATTGAAAACACACACATGCACACTTACATTGCATAGTTGGTTTGTTAACCCAACTCTATTTGTACAAGCACAAAGGGAAGAAAGGGGGAATTGATATTGATGAACACAAGAAGAAAAAAGGAAAAAGAATGACGAGATGAATAAAGAAAAATAAATGTAGGAAAGGGATGGGTAATTGTTTGTGTTTGGAAGGACATTGTCAATTCTTCCTTAATAGGTTTAATTGGCTATATTCTTCTCTATTTGGTGATAATGGGTTTAATGTATTTTTTGAAAAATATATGATTTTAGTATTTATAGGTTTTGCATGTTATGGTGATTTGGTTAAAATTTAGTTTAGTTCATGACCATTGTTGAATTTAACAAATGGAATGTGTGGAAAGTGAATGATATATTCCATGTGTAGAAAAAGTAAGATTATTGTGTTGTTTAACATTACTTGAATTGAGATCTTTCAATCTGTTGCCCGTGTATCTTAATTCCACGGTCTACCAATTTATTGTCCTTGTTGAATTAGTGAGCTTTTGGCTTCTATAATTTTTGGATTTCAGCTAGATTTTTCTATATTGTTCATATCAACTTGGAAATATTATCAAATATCAGGGGCCCTTGCTTGGGTTTTGATCCTCACTAAAGTAATTCTCATTGTGGATTGTAACTCTTAGTTGATTGGACATGCTGAAGAATTAAATTGACAATTTCTCTTGTAGTGTGGCAGGTATAACTATCATTGTGGATTGTAACTCTTAGTTGATTGGATATGTTAAAGAATTAAATTGAAAATTTGTCTTGCAATGTGGTAGGTATATTTGAGTTTAGTATATGGGATTCAGGTCTTGTTGAGCCAAGTTTCTATATGCAACTTTGTTGATTCTCATAATTTTTCATACTTTTTTGCAAATAACTTCTTTTTATATGCAGTCTACCCATGGAGGCTAGTTAGTAGCTCATTTTTGAATAGAAAATTGATTTACTGAACAAGTCTAGAAAATGAAATAAATATATCCAGACCAAACCAAACTAAACCAAGCCTTAAATCTCATCAAATGGGGTCGGCAAATAAATATATCAAGAACTCAATAAAAATGAAATCATTTCCAGGAACAAAATGTTTGTTATGCTTAATAGTTTTAGTGTGATCTATATTTGTATGAATTATGCCCTTTGCTCAAGTAGTTTTTTTCTTCGATAAAAGACATGAAGTTTCTTGTCACAGATATTACAAAAATGCAACTTTGTTGATTCTCATGGAACCTTGCATAATTTTTTTTTTTTAAATAACTTCTTTTTTCTTTCAACTGTCATTCGTATTACTTTTTAATTATTCTTCATCTTGATGAATTTGATCCAATATATTTTTTTTAAGGCTAGAAATAGTTGGAATGGGTTATTGATCTCCTACATGGAACCTTTTCTCTCTCACATATTATACTCACTTTCTCCAAGTTTGTTGAGAAGGCACATATTAATTTGTGCATGATAGATATTACTAGGTGTGCATTTAATTGTTGATTATTTTTCATTGTTGAATGAATGATCAAGTCCTTTTACTAAATTCTCTGGCTTTTTATGAACCAACAATCAATTGCTAAATTAATTATTTATATTTTTTATTTTATTTTTGTGGTTTTGATATACTAATTGGGGTTTGTGAAAAATATTATAGGGTTTTGAGGGTCATTGAATTCGGTGGCTAGTTTTAATGCACCTAAATGAGTTGTCTCTTTAGAGTGTCAATGGTTTCTTTATTGAGTTACAATATGTTTTCTTTGTTGAGTCTTAATGGTTTCTTTATAGAGTGCCTACATTTTCTCGATTAATTTATAATCTTCATGGTTACTTGATAATGAGTTTCAATTTTTTTTTTCTTCTCAATTATGCTACGTAAGGTCCCAAATTTCATAGTGGGTTTTCTATTTTTGTTCTCGTTCTTAATTTGTAGTGTTCACTGCGTTCGCAACTCAAAGCTTTGTCTTACGACCTCTACACGTAGACACTTTGTACACCCTTCTCTCAAAGAAAATATAATGGTTTGTGGTTTGGCTCCTTTTCTCTTTCATTTCCTCTCTAAATCCACTATTTGAGAATTTGATTCAGCATATTTTGTTTATATGGGTATAATCAATTTTTTTTTGGGGTTATGTGCATGCCTATATGTAATATGTATACTTTGTATTCTATAAAATGCTTCACCTAACGCAGTACATGTTGTTCCCCCTATAATTGCTTGAATTTATAAGGTTCTCTAGAAGTATATTCTTTTTTTGTTTTCTCTTTTGAATGTTCTATTTTGTCTATGTTTGTTCACAATGTTGCTGGAATTTATAAGGTTCTCTAGAAGTATATTCTTTTTTTGTTTTCTCTTTTGAATATGTTCATTTTGTCTATTTTTGTTAACAATGGTGATATTTTATGCTTATTTAAATTTCTTTTCATTATTTAGAGACAATACTTTAGACTTGTTAAGTAGAATATTCATGCAAAAATCAAGATGATTGGACATCGGTAGCTATATGTTCGAATCATATTTGTTTTAAAAATAATGGACGACAAATATAATTTCAATAATAATCATCCATTTTTTGTAATACAATTTCATATTTTTACTTCGTTAAGGTTGGCTTATACAATAAAATACGCCTGTGGAGACAGACGGCATGTAATTAGGACATGTAGGGTTGGAAGTTAGTAAAATACTCCTTAAACTTTGTCAAAAAGGGCGTTCTGGGGTGAAAATGTGAAACAGCCCCTAAACCACTCTGGGGATGTCATGAGAAGATTGATCGTGACAAATACAACCTGTGGGAACAAAATACATGTAATTAGGATACGTAGGTTGGAAGTTAGAGTACAAAACGCCGTAAACTTTGTCGAAAAAGGGCGTCCGATGGGCAAAAAGGCGAAACAGCGTGCGAACCACTCTGGGGATGTCACAGGAAGCTTGCTTGTGATAAATACGACCTGTGGGGATAGACAACATGTAATTAGGACACATAGTGTTGAGTAGAATATTCATGCAAAAATCAAGATGATTGGACATCGGTAGCTATATGTTCGAATCATATTTGTTTTAAAATAATGGACGACAAATATAATTTCAATAATAATCATCCATTTTTTGTAATACAATTTCATATTTTTACTTCGTTAAGGTTGGCTTATACAATAAAATATGCCTGTGGAGACAGACGGCATGTAATTAGGACATGTAGGGTTGGAAGTTAGTAAAATACTCCTTAAACTTTGTTGAAAAGGGCGTTCTGGGGTGAAAATGTGAAACAGCCCCTAAACTACTCTGGGGATGTCATGAGAAGATTGATCGTGACAAATACAACCTATGGGAACAAAATACATGTAATTAGGACACGTAGGTTGGAAGTTAGAGTACAAAACGCCGTAAACTTTGTCGAAAAAGGGCGTCCGATGGGCAAAAAGGCGAAACAGCGTGCGAACCACTCTGGGGATGTCACAGGAAGCTTGCTTGTGATAAATACGACCTGTGGGGATAGACAACATGTAATTAGGACACATAGGTTGGGGATTAGAGTTCAAAATGCTTTAAACGTAGTTGAAAAAAGGCGTTAAAAGGGGGCAAAAATACGAAACAGTGCGTAAACCACTCTAGGGATGTCACCAGCAACTTGCTCGTGACAAGTACGACCTGTTGGGACATACACTACTAGAAAACGGAGTATTGGACATGGAACCTTTTGCGATGGTGTGAAAATCGTCGCAAAAATCATGTTTTTGCCACGGCAAACGAAGCCGTCGTCAATTTAATTTTTTTGCGACGGAAAATCTAAGACTGTTGCAAAAAATAGTATTATATACGACAATTTGTTACGTGTTTTTTTTTCTTTTTCTGTTTGCAATTGTTTTAATTTTTTTGCGACTCCTTTTATTCCTCCGTCACAAAATGTTCTATTTTTGCCCTCCCTCTTTTCCCACTCTTCCCTACCCCCTCTTCCCTATCCTTTCAGTTCTTAGATCAAAAAAGAAAAAAAAAAAGGAAAAAAAAAAACCATCAATCTTCTCCCAGTCGTCACTGTTACTCTCTCTCGCTCCCAATCGTCTCTCTCTCTCATATCCCCAACACCTCCGGTGTGGGAAGAGTTCCAGGTAACCCTCCTCTCCTCTCTTCTTTCCTCTCATACTCGCTCATACAGACCCTAACAATCTCTCTCTCTCTCGCTTTCGCGTTACCCTCACGGACTGCTTGTAGCAGCAGCGGCAGCGACTTCCCACTTCGGTCACGGCCCACATATATTTTATAGTTCTTTGTTATCCATAAGAAAAACTTATCCCTACAATCCTCTCTCTCTCTCTCCCCCTACGTCTCTCTCTGTCTCTATTTGTGTTTCTCTCTCAGGTTTCTCTTCCCTCTGTTACTGCCTAAATTATTCATCTCTCTTTCTCTAGGGTTTCACAACTTCAAGGTAAACCATGGAGACTGCTTTAGGTATGCTTTCCCCAATTTTTTCTTTTTTCCTTTTGAGATATATATATATATATATATATAAGTCGATTCTTACCTTTCAAATTGATTGATTTCTTTGGTATTTATGAGTACATGAACTTTCAATTTCATCATTTAATCTATTGAAATTGTTCAATTCTGCAGTTTTTTTTGTTCCTTCTCTTGATTATCTCTGTATATTTTTGGGTATTTGTTTTGACTAAACCGTGATATGATTAGTTTCTCAAAAGTCAGCTCCTTTTGCGAATTCAAATTAGTTTCTCCTCTTCTTTCCTCTGCTAGTGTTGGTGGTTGAAACATTTTTTTTTCTTTTCTTTTTGGGTAAAAATTAAGGATCTCTTTAATTGATCATTTTTAGACTATGTACAAGATGTTCACATGTCATTACTAATAATTGATGCTTGAATTTGCTTGTAATGTGTACAGAATTTATTACATTTTGTAAAGTTGGACTACTTGGAAGTTGGAATTGACAAGAAATGATTTGTCAATTGAAACTTTTATTTAGCTACATGAATTAAACCTCGTCTGGGGTTGTAAACTTTAAGAGAACTGAAAGAGAAGGAGAAGGAATTAAGAGGGAGAAAGAGGAAATTGAGTAAGGCCAAAAAGAGTTCCAAGAAGGGTGCAAAAGTGACTTCCATGCATCTTGATGTGAGATAGAAAAGGGAGATAATGGAGATAAAAGAATCTTTGACAGTTTAATGAACTCCAATGTCATCATCCCTTTTAACATTTTTTTGTTTAAGCCTTTATATAGACTTATTTCCTAACCCTAAACCTATATGCCTTATTGCTACAGAAGGGAGGAGCTATCAAATGTATAAGGCACCTAACTTCTAAAATTGCGTCCCAGCTCCTATTTTCATGAATTTTATACAAAAAAAAATCCAAATAGGAAGACAATTCTAAATCTAAATGACATGAACTCGTTGTAATGTTAAGATACTACTTAAAGCTTGGTTTTCCTAGGACTTCAAATTGTAGTTCAAAACTTCATGTTGAATGCCACATGGGCTTATTGTTACCAATCGTTAGCACACCATATGATTTACGGAGACTATCTCTGATTTACATAGACCAAAAATGAGTAAGTAGTAAAATCAGGCCGCAAACTGGCATGGTAAGATTTATGGAACTATTAACGTTGAAAAAGTTTTGAATGTATGGAAATGGTAGTGAAATATAGAAAATTCTTATGCGGTCTTTCAAAAGAGATACAAACAGAATGATAAACTGTTAGTGTAAATATTATAACAAACAATATTGCTACACTTCCCACATTTCTATACCATATTATTCTTACCATCTTGTCAACACAATACTGGTTTAATGGGACCCACGACTTGCGTATATCTCCAATGCAATGTTGACAGTTAGACTGACACATCATATGGTAAGATATGATGGTAAAAATAAATTGTCATTGTAGCATTACTCATAAACAAATAATAATTGGTATAATTGCTTTTTTGGATATGTTAAATTTTATTTTCAAGCTTTGCTAAATTCAGAATTTTCTATTGCACATTAAGGTACAGTGACAGGTTGCACAATTATTGAATTTGTGGAGATGTTAAAATTATATAGTACTCCTTTTATTTCATTTTAAAATTTAAAATTATAATGTATTCTTTGGATTGAATTTGGTAGCATCAATATCAGCACCATCAAGTAATGCTTCTAACTGTTGTCATATTTTATCAGATTTTTGTTTCTGCAGTTATTTGGACACAGAAAGTATTTTCCATTTATACTCTGGGTTTTCAACATATATGTTCTTATATGTAACTATGTCTATGAGGGGTATCGGTGGTCCAGTTTTGGGTGAGTTATATTATGTTCATGACTAGTTGCTTTGATTCTTGTGAGATATATCAATCCTCTATTATACGCTATATCAGTATTTCTACTCATGATTTTATTATCCTCTTGTGGACAGGCGACATTAGGCTTATTTGGACAACTTTCGTGGTGCCTTTAGATGGCATAATTGCTTTAACTTTGGTATTTTCTTTGCCTCTTTCATTTATGGGAATTCAGTAGGATGATATTTTTGATCTCATCTGCATGTCTGTGAACTTTTCATCTCATATTTTATCTCATTCTTCTGTATATTATGTCAATAATGCCTCTGAATCATGGTAATATGTCAGACTACTCAAAGTCCAAGCATAATAATGCTATGTAAAGTATTTCCAGTTCTATGGGAAAAAGTTACCCATATGGTTCTCATATTTGACTTATATGACTGTCCATTATCACTACCGTTAGTGTAGGAGGAAATTACTTTGTTATATCTTTCAATGACCTTATTTTGTATTTACCCATGCTTAACTATCAGATGCTTAACTATAAGCTTTGTCATTAGTGTCCTTGGGGGCGCAAGTTCAAGTTACGGAAACCTCCTCTCTAGAAATGAGGGTAAGGCTGTGTTTTTCTTGCCCACCCTAGACCTCGCTATAGTGGGAAACTTGTGCATTGGGTCACCCTTTTTTAGCTGAATTTTATGCATATTGTGAGGATAGCAAATCCATAGCTAGACAGGCCATAGGTTTCGTTGCCATTTTTGTTGTTACTTCTTTCTATTTATTTTCTCCTGTATAGATTGGTGAGAAGATCATTTTTTCAATTGACTGATGTCTGATCTTCTACAATCATATTTAATGCTTGACAGTACTTTCATGGTTCATCTTTAGAAGAGAAAATACTTGTTTAATTGCAAGGAAATCCATTTTCCTCTTACTATGTTACTCACAAGTCACAATATTCAATTTTCTTCCTCAGTAGCGAGTTTCCACATCTGAAATTGAGAGCAAGTAGCCTTGTTGTTTATTGAGAAGAGATGGAAACCTACTGTCACTTGGTGAATGTTGGCCAAGAACCTTTGTATTTGGGAAATTTTTGTTTTAAATGCTACTTTTTTTCCCACAGAAGTAGGTATCAAGATCCATCGTTTCTTGACTTGTGTAATTGATGAAGAAAACCTAAGCAATTGGGAAGATACATTGTTAACTGATTGTTTTCCTTCAATTGAGTTCTTTAGAAAGCAGAGATTATTAGTTGTCTCTGTAATTCCATGTAGTTGGGTCAATATAATTTCTCTTTGATGGATAGAATGATGTATATTCTTAAGTTAGTTTAGGCACTCTATGGAATTAATGGCTTCCTATATTCATGGTTGCAAATGGGTCTTGTGATGAAAATTGGAGCCATCACCATATCTGAGCATTATTATGTTTCCACTAAACACGACGTTTTAGTTTCCTTTCAAGAAATTCTTCAAAATTATGACTATTATATGATTATCGTAGGGCAATGATCCGGTGATGGGACAAGTATTATACTAGTCAAAATGAAATATTTACAAATACTATTTTATGACAAAATTCACATGTCATTTTTATTTCGAACAACTAGGCATTTGTATAATTTTTTTATTCTTTAGTGGTCCAAATATATTATTTCAAAATAACAAATAAAGTAAATTTTTTTAGTGGTATCTTTTTGTGGTCCATAACATTTATACACTAGAAAAAATTAAGATTTGTTTTTGTTACAATATATGTATTATTGATTGATATATGTTGTTGTTTACATTGACTCATATATATAGAAGAGAAGAAGGTAGTAGGTGAAGTGTAGTAGGTGAGGAGTAGGTGGTGGTAGGTGATGGTAAATTTTAACAGTTTTCGAAATTTACTTTTTTGGTGTTTTTTTTTTTTACTTTTTATAGAAAAACATACAAAAAATAAATAAATAAAGAGAGTAGTTGATTTTTTTTTAGTGATTTTTTTGACTTTTTTAAACTAAAATTGAGAGTTTCTAAATAAATAAAAATAAGACAAACAGTAAGCGGGTCGGGTTAACCCATGACCAACTAGGGCCCCCAACCACACAATGGGGGTGATTTGAGGGAATATGATTTTGAGGCCCAAATTTGATTGATTTAAATCCTTGAAAAAGAACCACAATAAATATCCGTTACATATTTGTAATGGATGATGATGATGATTCATCATCTTCCACTTGTTTGTTTTTTCCATTCTGCAGTTGAATTTTGCAACCATTTTTAGAGTAAAAGAGTAGAGGGATATGGCTATGCTGTTGGCATCATCACCCTTGTTTTCGGCTCCAATCTTACTTAGAAGGCAGCTCAACCATCACCACCCTCACTTGTTTTCAACTTTTGCTTCTCCTCAGCTTCCCTTTTCTGTAAGTTTGTTTCCATTACTTTTTTTTATTATTATTAAAATTGTTTTTTTTATTGATTGTTCAAATTTTTGAAGAAATATTAATGGGTTGTTGAGATTCGTGCTTATTATAGTACTGATCTAGTTCTTATAGTTTGGGTTGATTCAGTTGTGAATCTTGAATTAATTAATGATATTACACTTTTTTTTTCTTTTAAAGAATCACTCTATAATCAGCAAAAAAAAATCAATAAAGATAAAAATAAACGTAAATAAATTGAGTAGAAGTTTTAGTAAAAGGCTTCATTTGATATGAAACACTCCAATTGATAAAATCAAATTTTAGTAAAATTACCTAGTGTTAAGTTTTGAGTGGATGCCAGGAGTCAGAGTAAAGGAGAATTTGGAAAATTTGGGTAAATGCACCTATGTGTCAAGTTTTGATTGGATATAAATTTGAGTAATGGAAATGAGTCTCCCTTGATTTGAGTCAAAATTTGAGTGAAACTCAAGTTGGTATAGGTTTGAGTAAAGGAGTGGAGGGGGTTTTAGTGGCTGAAAAATCTAGAAATCCCCTAGATGTTGATTTGCGATTATGTATCAATTTAAAGCAGAATATAACAATCCCAATCAAAACTTCTCTGAAAAGCACAATTCGGGTTGGATTCGCATCTAAACACTCATAGCCTCACTGAAATAAAAAGTGCGAATAAAATTACAACTCAAAGGAGTTTTGTCAAACGGGATTGCCAAGAAATAAAACCTAACAGTGGCTGTTTACTCAAATTTATGTATGAGTCAAGATTTGGGCAAGGGTTGGGGATGGGAAGTGGTTGTGGGTTGAGGAATGAACCAGATTAGAATCATTAGTAAGCAAGGTAGATGTATCTGGTATTGTTGTCATGTTTATTGACCCTTCTGCCATAGCACCTCCCCCCCGCCCCCTCTACCTAATTTGTTCATGGTTGGTGTGTGTGAAATGTAGCTTCTGTATGTGAATAAAGTTGTAAGTGGTAATTTTGATAATTTAAGCACATTCGTGTACAAGGAAAATAGAATGACATTTGGGTGTTCTAAAAGATCCATAGAAGTTTCAATGTCAACACATTTGGAAATTTGAAGCTTACGTTACATGTGGCATCGTTATTAGCGTCATTTGCAAAATGGACATCAAGGATTCGAAGCAAAAGGATTTGTGGGGAACAAATTCTCTCGTTAGACCACCATCTTAATAGTAAGAGCTCCCATATTTGAGTTTTTGGTTGGATGGATGTTTTATTTTGTTGATCTTTAGATATGTAAAATGGTCTATTCTTGATTTTGAAACTTACAAAAATTATGATTTGTGACCTTAACCTTCACTTAATTAGGTAAAAATAGGCAACCATGGTTTACATTCAGTTAACCATTGAAATCCTTTGCCTTGTCTTATTCATCATACTCATATATGGGGTGAATGGTCTCATACAGTTTCTGGTATACGACCTATGATGGTTTTAATTTGGGTATATTTTGGTTGGCATGATATGGTATGGTGAGAAAAATTGATGTATAAAGAGAGAGTTTCCATGACCAAGGTTGACCCGAAAATGGTTTTCTTAAATGGTAACTGCAACACTTCCCATCCCATCCCAGTGGCACGTTGCTTGCAAAATAAATGATGCTTCAACATGTAAATTGTGTGTTATGATAATTTGGTATATTTATCAATTTAATTTGTTATCATTCGAACCCAAGTGAACTTTTTCTTCTTATAGCCATACCTAGATCACTTGTAAACAAGTAGAGGAAACTAGTTCTACAATTTACAGAAGAAAACGATAGGAGTGCCAATCATATGTTGTTTACTTGTCATTGTCTTTTTTTGGCTGTAAAATGGAATATTTATATATCTTATTCATAATTGGTCTGGTCAAATATGTATATTTTGGATTTGCATTTTATGCTTGAAGTAGAGCACATAAGAGTATTTCACTTAACAAATGTCTTCTTTATGCCTTTTATATGTTATAGTGCTAAAAATTTGTTATTCATAATTGGAAATTTTGAGTATAAAGGCTTCAGTTATTGTCCAGAGAATCTGCAATTTCAAATCCTCGCTTGCCCTCGTTATGTTTTATAAAATCTACGGCTTGTAAAGTATCTTGCAGCCCAGTGGAAATTGAAGATGGTATAAATGACGAGGCTTGTGAGCTAGTCAATGGAGTTGAGATTTCGATAGGGGAGGGAGATGACAGTATCCTTGCTTATCGTTTCACGGTAGTGAAGAACAACAATGTAACCGGCATCTTGCTCTTGTCCGATATCTTAGGATTTGAGGATTCATCCACTAGAGATTTTGCATATTGTGTTGCCTGCAACGGTTACAAGTATGTTTCTTGATTTTTAGACATCATGTGTGAAAATACATTTGTACTACACTACAACTACCAAAGACACTTGTATTAGATGATGTTTGATACACTGGGAATAGGGCATACATGTATCTAGTCAGAAGTGGCCTCAGTGCTAGGCAAATAAGATTTTCCATTTGTGATCACACTAACAACCAAAAAAGTAGGGAGAGCTATCTTAATCTCGAATTTTTTTTTTTATAAATATTATACTACTGTTTCAATTCGTTTTGGGAATTGAAAGTTTTAAACTTGAATGTAATTAGTAATTTTGCATTTCAACATAAAAGAAAAATATATTTCAAATAAATTTTTAAAAAGGCTTCATTTACGGTTTTATGCCTTTGGCACCCAAACAAACTTGAGCATTCTGTATCTAATGCTGCTGGTCTATGCATTGATATCCATGTTGTTTTGTCTTTCCATATCTTTGTCAACATTGTTAACGATTCTTAAAATGATCCTTTATATAATTTTTACCGATGTTTTTCTTGAAATAAATATTGTTAGTGTACTAGTATCGGACTTGTTTCGTGGGGATCCATGGGCAAAGGACAGACCGAAGACTTTATTTGAAGAATGGTTGGCACAACAAACCCCGGAAAGGATTGCAAAAGACATTTCAACCTCTAAAAAATGGATGATGGATGAGTTTGTAGCTGTAGGAATCTCAAAGAAGCTTGGTATCATCGGATTCTGCTTTGGAGGTGGCCGAGTAATAAATGCGCTCGCCCAGGACGGGGGTGCCTGTTTTGGCATTGGGGTTTCATTCTATGGCACAAGAATTGACCCATCTGTCGTTGCTAATATAGAGGTGCCTGTATTGTTCATTGCGGGTGACAATGATCCGAGTTGTCCGGTCAGTGCCTCAGTATATGATTTTTTGAATGTGAATTTTGATGTAGATGTGGATGTATTGTATTTTAGAAAATATTAATAATTTGTACAGGGAATGAATTAATAGATGTGGATGTAGATGCGGATGTATTGTATTTTGATGTAGATGTGAATTTTATTTTTACAGATGGTTTTTGGCGTGGAAAAGTGGATATTCTTTATTTTTGTGCAGAGGACATTGTTTTTTTTAGAGGCATTTACATACAAGTCCCATTTTGTGAACTTATAATCCATTAAGTCCTAAATAAAATTATTTGCTCCTTCAAGTCCCATTAATTTTTAATAGCCCAATTTATCCTTCCAAGACCTCCTCATAGCTGCCAAACATCATTGCTGTCTTCATTCTCTCTCTCTTTACGGTTGCAATTTGAAGTTCTACGCAACTTCAGATGGGTAATAATTGAAAATTACAAATTTGAAAATGAACAACAAGAAAGAAGATAAAGATTTGAAAACCCATTATTTAACAATGAACTCAAACGAGCATCGTTGAAGGAAATATGCTATCTGTATCATAGAATCAACGCAGAGACAGGAAAAAGCAAGTGTTGATCAGATGTTCTTATTATTACCAGATTGAAGTGTACAAGAAACATTTGACACCAAGACTATATATTAGCCATCAAGTGACCCAAAAGAAAACATGAGTGTTAAGCCACATAATCACATTATTAAGCCAGAAACAAAAATTGCAGGATCATTAAAGTTCAAAAATTGAACCAAGAACAGGTCAAGAAGTACGCAGATCACACCAGGGCTTTGAATCGAACCCCAAATTGCAACCTTCCAAGTCAAAAAGTCCACCAGATCTGAAATTGTAACCCTATGTACTCGACTACATTGTTCTTCTGAATTCTAATTTGAAGTTGAGAACATTCTCAGTTTATAATATTCTCAATTTTAATCATGAAAAAAATTGAGAAATTTCTCAAAATTGATAATTATAAATTTCTTCGTTTTGATAATATTCTTAGTTCATACTAGAAAAAATTGAGAAATTTCTTAGTTTTGATAATTATAAATTGAGAACATTCTCAGTTTTAAAATTGAGAACATTCTCAGTTTTGGGATTAAAGGGCAAAATGTCTTTTTACCTATAAATGGAACTTAATGGTTCAAAAACTTTTTGACAGGACCTAAGCTACCACCAAACATGTAGATAGAACTTTTTGGTAATTAATCCTTTTTTTTATAATCCGTTATTATGTTGTCCTTTGTTTTGTTTTTTTTTTGGATTACTATTGTTCATACAGATAACTATTGGCATGGTACAAATTGCTTTTGGCATATAACATATTACTTTTGGCATGGTATAGATTACCATTTGACATGGTATTGTGGATATTTCTTTTTTTGTGTACGGCAGACATGATTTTTGTATAATCCTCTGTTTTGTATAGAATTATTATTTTAGGTTGGATTATGCTTGATTCGTATGGAATTTCTATTATATTTCGAATTTGACGTTAGAAGTTAAATTTTCTTTGATTGTTATTATTTTCTTTATATACAAGGTACAGGTTGCACAGAATAAATACAGATTGTGGCGAAATAAATATATATATATATGTATAAAAATAAAAATAAAAACTAAAGAAAGTTTTTGACGATTAAACATTTAGTAGATAAAAAGAAGTGAAGTTGTTGGCGACTAACCAATTCATAGCCAAAAGGAAATAAAGGCTTTTTCACGATTAAATATTTGGTAGCCAAAAGAAAGAAAATATTTTGGTGTCTAAATAATTTGTAGTAAAAAAAAAAAAAGATGAAAAATAAATTTTATTTGGTGACTAAATATTTGGTAACCCAAAAAATTTGAAGTTTTTGCCTACTAAAAATTTAGTCGTCAAAAAAGCTATCGATATTTTTTATGGCTAAACTGTAGTGACCCTCATTACTCACCTTAGCCTCGGGCATGAGCATTTGTATAATCTTGTTTTGCTAAGTTGCAGTAGTGAATTTTGTTGACTTGTCTTAACTAGAATGAGATTTTGTCTTGGTTTGTGCTTATGTGAAATTTACTTGTTGAGCCTTGTTCTCTTCTGGTGAGTCTAGCCAAGGTCACCTTAAAGCCAGAACCACCTTGAAACCACTTTGGTTGACCTCTACCTTCGTCCTGGCATATTGGCCGAGATGTCACCTTCTAGGCCGAGGTGTATCATCAAGGCCGAGAGGTGTACCATCTAGGTTGAGATGTTATCCTTGAACTCAAGTGATCTTGTTCCGGATTGGTGCGACCTAGACCGAGGTGTGGCACAGCTAGGCCAAGTGTTGTCCGTCCTAGCCGAGACCATAGATGCCTCACCTACCAGAGCCGATGTTTTCACCCGATGTCAGTACCTTGTCAGAGTGCCATGCCGCTTTACTTGTTAAACACCCTTCCGCCATACCTTGTCTGGTCTGTCAGCCACCTTTTCGGGGAGAACTAACCAACCGTTGCCACGTGTCCGAGCTGAATGTTAAATCAGCCAGCAGTGAGTAGAACCTATCATTGTGTATCATATCTTTGCCTTGAGAGAGAGAAGCTCTAGAAGGAGTTTTAGAGTGAAGGAGTGGATCTTGGAGCTTGATTCTTAGAGATCTAACCGTTAGATTCGTGTATTAAGGTTAGATTCTTGACCTACTCTTGTAGTTCTTGTTGATCATCTAGCTGCATTGCATGATCGAACCTGATTTGCAAGCCATGCATTGATTGAAAGTTTGGTTTTAGAAAGAGAAAGTAGTATTCATGTGTTCTTGAATAAAAACCTTGTTTGATCCGAAGGTTTGCATTAAGATTCATGCTTTTGTGTTTGTTTTCATAGGACCTTCAGGTATGGGTACCCAGGTCCATGTTTTTTTAAATTCATAGCATGAAGTCCTAGATTTCGTAGTGACAAGTTAAGATTGAGCATTCATGTGTTTCATGTTCTTCATGTTTTTCAGCTGAGGGAAACCCAGATTTTCCCGACTTCATTTCCTTGAGCGTGGCCACCGGGACCACACCTCGGCAAGAAGGTGTGGGACCTCGGCAATAGCCTGGTTGGTACCCAGCATGTTTTTCCCGAGAGGAGAAACAGTGTTTGGTCTTGGTTCGACTTAGTTTTGAAGGAATGCCGAGAACATTTGCATCCATGTAAAGCTTGTTTGAAAGTGCATTCAATAGACCTTGCCATGTGTTTGTAGGACTTGGACTTGCCTTGACCCCGATGTCTGAAGAGCTATGTGAGTGGTATTTTTAATAAAGTTATGTTATAACGTTTTGATAAAGCTTGCCTGGTTTGATAAAAGTATTTGTTAAGCATGAATGATATCCCTATTTTATGTACCAAGTATAAACTCTGTTTTGGAATGGTTGTATCAAGTAAGCTTTGTTTTGATGGCAATTCTTGAAAGTCCGTACGTGCTAGTGGACTATAAGCATTTGTAGCACAATTCTTGAAAGTTCGTACGTGCTAGGGGACTATAAGCATTTGTAGCACAATTCTTGAAAGTCCGTACGTGCTAGGGGACTATAAGCACTTGTAGCACAATCCTTGTGAATGTCACCCATGAAACTTGAAAGACTTTGATTGATGAGGTTCGACAGATTTGTTAGATGAATTCGATTTATCCCACATTTGTCATAAGCTATGATTATATATTGTTTTGTTAAAGATCTCGGATGTCATACATGCAAACCATTTATTTCTTGTACCATTCACTTAGTATCCAAGCTCACCCTCTCTATATATATGTAGGTGATGAGCAGGAAGGCGGTGGCGCCTAGGTGTGACTCGCAAGCTTGTTTTGGGTTTTGTTTTTGTCGGCCTAACTTGTATTCATGTCGGCAGTCTTGAAAATTATGCTTCTCGGCTTATAATGCTTGTAATTTACACATGTCGGCTGGAGAAGCCTTTTGATCAAGATGTAAAATGTATTTTGTACTTCATTTCTATTTGTATTCAAATTGTAAAGCTATGTAAAGATGTATGCCATTCCACTTGACTTATGCACCGCTCTTATGGATCACTTGTATTTTAGATTATTGCTTGCGCACTTGTGAGCCCTATATATTTATACTCTGATTGTGTGTGTGAATTTTGAAAGTTGACCTTCGGTAAATCTCGGATTACTGGCCATCACAGCACCAAACTACTAGGGGCGGTTTGGGATCGTGACATAAACATTTAGTCATCAAAAAAGCTACAATCTTTTGCCTACAAAAAAATTTTGGTTGCTAGCTAAAGGAGTCAATTAGATGTTTGGCTACAAAATTAATTTGTCGCTGATAATGGAAAAAAGAATTGGCGACTATATATTTTAATCACTAAATAAAACATAGTAGTGATAAAATTTATCTACGACTAAAAATTTAGTTGATAAAAGTTCAAAATAAATTTATAAAAAAAATTATGGCGACTAAATTATTAGTCGACGAATGGTATTCTTTGGCTACTAAAATAATTTTAGTCGCCAATACTTTTCCCGACAATTAGTCAACGACCAATTGGGTAACTAAATAATTTAATTGGGAATTACATTCGTCGACTAAAAATGATTTTTAACGATTAAAAATTTAGTTTTCAAATGTGTAATTTCTTATGGTGTGTAACTAGTTTGAAGATAATTCATAGTGTCAAGATAATTCTAAATGATAATTTTTATACCCATGCTTCATAGTGTGAAGATAATTCTTAATGATAATTTTTATATTTTTTTGCAAAGTATATATTATTTAAAATTTATTATCATAATTTTGCGGTGTTGGTGTAAGAGGCGGTACCGTTTGTCTAATCCATTTGAATCCAATTATAATTGAGTTTGAGTTTGTAGGATAAAAGTCGTTTAAATTATGACAAAATTCTCACATAAAATTACATAATTATTTAATGCTAATTGAATTTGTAAATATTTATACACAAGCATCAACATACATCATTATAACCTCACAATTGCTACAATCATCACTAATATTGTTGCAACCATCATCACCGTCACTGTCATTGTCAGCACCACCACCACCACCATTATGAAGCCACCATTGTTATTACCACCACCTTTATTATCCTTGTCATCGTTATCATAAAACATACCATCATTTCAAGTAGTGAAATTTCATTATCTTTAATTAGTGAAATTTAACCTTAATACTTAGGTGAAATTATTAAAAAAGTGAAATTTCTACTAAAGAAATAAAAATTACAAAATTAAAGGCAAAGATGAACTAGCGAGTAAATGGAAAACTTATGAGTTAAAGAGAG